CCCCAAAACCCCAAAACCCCAAAACCCCAAAACCCCAAAACCCCAATCTGTCTAAAAAATATTGAAATTATATACAAGTTACAAAAATGATTGATATCAAAGCCCTTTGTGGTAAATCAGAGCCAACTTCATCCCAAAGACTGCTCAGTGATTACGATCTGGAAGAGGGCAAGCAGAACTACACTAAGGACAGAGACCTGATCAAGGATTTCTTGCCAGAGACAAGGGAGGTTCTAGCCACGATAAAATAACATGGAGAAGAATATATCCCAGATTAAAGCTCTTAAAGAAGCTATTACTCAAGAAGCTAGAGGAGACAGGGAGATAGCTACTAATGAAAAGGTACAGATTATTATCTCCAAGACTACTGACATGCAGAAAACTATAAATGAGTCTCTTAAGGAAATGTCTGAGCAAGTTGATAAGGCGAAGGAAGAGTATCCTGATGAGCCTGAGTGCAGAGTCGTATCAACTATCCACTCTACACTTATTTTCAAGTTTAAAGAGGTCCTTATTTCGTTTCAGAAGAGCCAGTCTGATTATAAAAATGCAATGCAGTCCAAAATAAAGAGACAGATTGCTATTGTTAAGCCGGAAGCTGGAGAGAAAGAAATTGAGGCACTTTCAAAAGACCCAGAGTCCGCTATGAAAATGGTTTCTGATCAGATCTCAGGAAAGGCACATAGGAAACTCCAAAATACAGTTAGAGATATACAAAATAAATATGAGCTCATTTTAAAGCTTGAAAATAGTGTTGAAGAAGTCTACCAACTAACTCTGAATCTTAATATTTTGATTCAGACTCAAGGTGAGAAATTAAACACTATTGAGAAGAACTTAGAAGAGGCTAATGATTATCTGGAAAAGGGAGAAAACCATCTTAATCTAGCTAAAAAGTGGCATCAGAAGACTAGGTACAAGATGGCTTGCATAGCTGTTGTACTAGTCATCATTGCAATTATTTTAATCGTCATATTTGTAAAGTAATCAATAGTATTAAAGAAATCAGGGGTTTTGGGGTTTTGGGGTTTTGGGGTTTTGGGG